ACGCCGCTCATTTCAATACGTAATATAAGTTTTCTCAGATCCAGCGACTGCTTAATCGTGGGCCGCGAGCACTGCATTTTGGCGCGCCAAGGTGTGCCCGCCGCGTGCGGTGTGACGCCGCATCCAAACAAGCGCCGCCGCAGCCTCCAAGCGCGTGTGTGGCGGCGCAGCCCAGCCGTTCAGCCCTGAAAATGATGCAGCAAATTAACGACGCATAGTGGCTCGCAAAGGTGGAGGACCAGCACTCCGCTCACGCGCACGACTGTGCTGCCCGCAACTTCGATCGGTGCGCGAGCCGCTGCCCGGCCGCCCGCCCTCCTGCCGCCTCTGGTCAGGCAGGGATGGCGCCGTCGCAGGATACTGAAGAGGATGCATCATACGGCAGCGATTCCGGGTCGGATTACGACCCCGAGGATGACGATGAGGAGCAGCATGAGGATGAGGAGGAGCAAGAGGAGGAGTTCTTTGGGGGTGAGGCTCTCCTGGGTTGCATGGTCTGCGCGCATGCAGCATGAGAATGTGTGCCATGGCATGCCAATGGGTGACAGCAGCAGCAGCAGCAGCAGCAGCAGCAGCAGCAGCAGCAGCAGCAGCAGCAGCAGCAGCAGCAGCAGCAGCAGCAGGACGAGGAGGAAGAGGAGGGTAATTTTCTGGTTTGGTCAGGGGGGACTGGTCCATGCCCATGTCACATGGACAATGGTGTTAGCACCAGCGGCCGCCGCCGCCGCAGCAGCAGCAGCAGCAGCAGCAGCAGCAGCAGCAGCAGCAGCAGCAGCAGCACATTCAAGACCCAGGTTCGACATGCGATCGATGGTGCCGCACCAGATGGGGGCCACAGCACCGACCCCACCAAGCGCCGCCCGCCGCGCCGCGCCCGCCCCGCGCAGGCGCGGGCCCCTGGGACCTTCTGGGGGAGCTGAACCGTCAGGAGCCTGGGGGCCGGGCCGAGCCATTCGACATCATGAGGGAGCGCCAGCGCGCGGCGGCGGCGGCGCACGCGCAGCAGCGCGCCGCCGGCGCCGCCGGCACCGGGGCCGGGGGCGGCGCCCGGGTGGGCGGCGGGCGGAAGAGGGGACCTCGCCTGCTGCTTGTGGGACGGCGGGATGCTTTCTTGCTCGAAGTTTCCAGGGTTTGGGGCCTGTCTGTCGGCTTGGGGGCCGTGCTGTGCAGCAGTGTGCCACAAACGGCTCCGCGCCTGGCGTGATTGGTTGTTTTGGACGTGCTGCAGGGCGGGCGCGGAGGCGGCGGCCGCGCCGGGGCGGCGGCGGCGGCGGCAGCGGCGTACAGGTGCGTGCGGGGCGGCGAGGGCGCCCTAGGGAGCGCTGCGGCCTGGGTCTCTGGCTGGCGGTTGGGATGGCATGATGGTTTGACGCACGCCTAAGACATCAACACAGCTGCAGGCGCACGGGCTCCGCGGCTGCGGGCGCATGGCCTGGCCGCACCACTAAATGTGTTGCGGGCTGCATGTTGAGGGCTTGCATCGATGGCAGACCCCCAATCGCCCGCCTTTGCCGCAGGGACGGCGCCCGGGGCCGCGGCAGGGCCCGCGGCCGCGGCCGCGGCCGCGGCGCCGCGCGCTCCGACGAGGAGGACACCGGCAGCGAGGGCGGCGGCGGGCGCGGCCGCGGGCGCGGGC